TAAGTACCATTCTGCCTGCATACAAGTAAACCCACCCATTCTGCAACTGTGTGTGTCCATTTACTAAATTTTCTTTATTCATGTTCTCTCAGTTCCATTCGCCTAATACACTTTTTCACACATAACCTTCCAATCCTAGCTTATGCTTTGTGGCCGTGATTCATACCTCCACCTTGATAATTAGCGCGTGTAGCAACGCGTGTATGTGCGACCCTGCAACACGCTCTGTCTCACGCGATGTATCACGCGCTGATACGCGTGCTGATGCACGCGCTAACGCATGACCTGCGGAACGCGACACCTGTTCGATTTGCCCATTGGCTGCACGAAGCTCCTTTACACTACTACTACAGTTTTAAGGCGTTGCTTTCATTGTCTTTTATGGCCGTTCCGAATTTAATTTTTTTATTACTCAACATTTTTTTTCCAATCTTTACTCAAGTTATTCGAGCTTAGTGATTGCTATAGCTTTTCAGCGTTCTCTTCTGGTATTTGACCACGCATTCCATTTGACAATTCTTACTTGCCTAAGACATGCCATCAAAGAGAAGATCTTGTTTAGATTGCAAAACCGCTGCCGCCAGTCCCGCCATGCGAATAAGGCATAACCAATCGTCTTTATAACGTTCAGTTCACCTGTCTCAAAATGCTTCTCGGAATGCTTCACTGAGAGCCACTGAGTCTTAAGATTAACGTAGCCATCGGCTTTCCAGAAGAGCATACGTAAAGGTTTCTGCGTGCGAGACTAAAAATGATGATCAAAGGACTCAACGGCTGAGGAAGAACGCCTCTTCAACTACCGCTGCGTGCGAGGCTAAACGTACTGATCAAAGGATTTAACAGCTGAAGAGAAACGTCTCTTCAACTTCTGCTGCGCGCGAGATTGAAACTGCTGATCAAAAGACCCAACGGCTGTGAAGAAACGTATCTTCAGCTGCTGCGCATGAAGCTGAAACTGTCGACCAAAGGACTCAACGGCTGAGGAGAAACGCCTCTTCAACTGCTTTCTGCGTGTGAGGCTGAAACTGTCGATCAAAGGACTCAACGGCTGAGGAGAATAGCCTCCTCAAATGCTGCTATGCCTGATGCTGAGAATTCTAATCATAGACTCAACAGCTGAGAAGAAGAAACGCCTCTTCAACTGCTGCTGCACGTGCTACTGAATCCGAGGAGAAGCGCGGAAATCGCTTACAATCGAATTCTACTTCTACTGCTACCGCGCGTTCAGTGGAGTCGTCTGCTACCCGTCAAAATAGACTGAACGCCAATAGTGCACGGAGGGATGCTCTGCGTGGTATACCAACGATCGGCAGTGGCCGTTGGTTAAACTAGGCCTACTATTACAACCCCGGGACTCCTCCTTATGCTAATCAATGCCTCTATCTCTCCTTCCACAGGCCACCTTCAACGGCATCGCCTCCCTCTTGAAATGGCATCATTTCCAGCACATTATATAACAATAGAAAATACATCTACATCCTGAAGAAACATTCCCCCCTCCACCAATTCTATTCTTCCGCCGTAACAGTCCATGGAAGAGGTTCCTTCCTTGTAAAACTGAGAACGCAAAAAGGCCCCTTTTCAGGACTACCCCTATTCAAATTGTTAACCCTTCCATTTGGGGATATGCCTCAGTTGCACCCTGTTGAACTAATATTGATTTTCGGGTGGGCTGACTTTAAACGGCAAAAATTCCCAGCAATGAAATACTCTATCTAATACGGGTTATACTGCTATATATATATATATATATATAATGCCACCCACACATTTATTGGGAACCAAAACAAAGTCTGTAAATGAATGAGAGACTAAGGATTTACGTTCGATCAAAGTTATCTCAACTGAAATGGTTAAAGCAGACCTCGGCAAAAATCGAGCACTAAGGTGCAAAATCAAATCTCGTCAGTAAGTATAAGTTTATTTTCGAAGATTTTACCTACCCAGAGTGTCGTCAAAAATAATCGACAGAGACTATTGTGAAAACAAACACCAATAAAAAAAATAGAGATTAAAAAGTAAATCTAGTCAAATGAAAATATAGAAAATTTCTTCCGATAAAACTAAGGCTAAGAAAGTTTTATTTCTACCACTCGTCCCAGCTTTGTTTTAATCAATTCACCCCAAGCAAGGCGATTATGTCACTAAGACGAAAGGGGCAACTGGAAGTGAAAGAGAATGAAAAGACTTCAGAAGGAACCGGAAACCCAATCCAAAACAAAACAGGAAACAAGAAAGTCACCTCTGCTCCTGATCAAAACTCCGAGGAGGCGAATGAACAGGACGATCAGGCGAACCTACCCACTCCTAATAATTAGTAAATATTGGGTTGGGGCATAATTATCAGGCGTTTTTGTAGGCGTTATTTGTTAATAAAAAATCGCTGTTTCATTTACTTTTTTTTTTGATAAAATCATTTAAAAAATTTTCTTGTTGAATTACTACGTTTCTTTTTCACAATCATGTATTGTTTAAAAACGCCTGATAATTATGCACCAACCCAATAAAATTTCAGTGTTCAGACGAAGACGTCAGAAGTATAGAGTTGAAGTAGACTTTAGAAAGAACCAGAAGTTAGCAAGCCAGTCACATAAATCCTTACGAGAAAGAGAGAGAGAGAGAGAGAGATCGCGTCTGACTGATTTGCGTACAATTTTGGCTTCGTACCCGACTAAGTTAAGGACAAGAAATTTTCATTTTGACACTTCGTCTCAATATTGTCGTTAACAAATGATTCATACAATTCATTAATTCAGCAATGATATCGAGTCCGACTGATTGTCTACATGTGGGATTTCTCTCTGACTCATGTATTGCTGACAAATTCTTATTTTGATGCCTCGTCTCAGAAGAGTCATTAGCAAACTTGTCGCATCAATCATTAATACTCTAGAAAGATTGATTCTGATTTCGTATGTCTGTGACTTCGTGCCCGACCATGTTAAAGTTAATATTGATTCTTATATTGATGTTTTATCTCAGTATAGTCACACCAGTTCTATGGCGTCCTGGGTAAGGCAGTAAACTACATCCGACAGAGAGGCCTCTGATCAGGAGGTTTAAGTAAATGCTCTGTTTATAAACAACATTTACCGGCCTGAATGTCCGAGAAATTTTCATATATATATATATATATATATTATAAATTAATTGATTTAAAATATGTTTTTTTCGCTACACAGTTCTAAACTTTTTTGAAACATGGTTAGAACTGTGTAGCGAAAAAACATATTTTAAATCAATTAATTTATAATATTAATGCTCTGTAAATTTACATTGAGCACTATTTTGTAAAAAATATCTATAAGAACACAGGATTATTTATCTTACTGTTCTTTCTTTTTATTTATATACATATATATATATGTGTGTGTGTGTGTACACAATTCAAACGTCTTTGGTGAATACTCTTGTTTGATATAGACGCCTCGTTTTTCTTTAATTTAAACTGTAGCTATTACGTCTATCGACCTGTGCACTCGAGAAAACTTCATGAAGAGAATGTGGTTTCCGGTAGGGTTCGAACCAGAATCCCCTTTTGTAGGGAGAAACAACCGTTTGATTCAGCATGCTTTCAATCTCTCGACAAAGAAACGGCACTCAGCAGAAAGGTGCTAATTACCCCTTTTATCTATCTCAGCCTTTTCATATCTATCTATCTGACTGTTCGTTAATGCACCCCATTTGACTGCCACGAATGATTTATAGTTAGAATGATATATTCATCATTACAAGTGGTTCCCAAAAACGGAAATTACTTATGACTCAGCGTAATCTTTCTATCTCAGTCTATTCAGATCTATCTCAAGTAGGTTAGATATATCTATGTATTTATCAAACTGTTTGTAACTTCAGAAATATCTATCTATCTATCTATCTATATGTTAATGTATTCCATTTGACCGCCACGTATGATTAATAATTAGGATGATACATTTCTCATTACAATTGGTTCCCCAAAATGGAAATTACTTACGACTCAAAATAATCAATCAGTCAATCTAAGTCTATTCAGATCTATCTAAATCAGGTGAGATCTCTTTATGTATGTATGTATGTATGTATGTATGTATGTATGTATGTATCTATATATATATATATATATATATATATATATATATATATATATATATATATATAAGTCTATTGAGATGTAGAGATTTTCAAGCATACCTTAGATGTGGCACACGGCCGAAAGTAGGGCGGCACCCAGTGGGGGTCGAACTCACTACTCAGTTGTAATCGTTCTAGCGAGACAATCCTGCTAAGCATTACACCGCCTCGAGGTGCCCCAGTCAATTCAGATGTATCTATCTTTCTATATCAGCCGATTTAGATCTATCTATCTATCTCGGTCGAGTCGGATCTATTTCTCTGCCCATCTCAGTCAAGTTAGACCTATCTGTCTATCTACGCATCTATCTTTTATATATATATATATATATATATATATATATATATATATATATATATATATATATATATATATATCAATTATATATATATATCAATTATATATATATATTTATCTATTTATATATCTATTATATATATATATTTATCTTCATATATATATATATATATATATATATATGCACCAGGTCACTGTATTCTGCCCTTCAAAAAGTGTGAATGGTCCTGCACGAAACCTTCACCACTATAATCAAATCTCATGTGCTGTTGTCGGGCTGTCAGTTTCCTAGGAACTGATCTGTTTGACCCTCATACGTCGAATTCGACGGGAGAGTCGAGTATAATATATATATATATATATATATATATATATATATATATATATATATATATATATATATATATATGTATTTGATTTTCTATTCATATTTATCTGTCTGTCTATCTGCCTATTCAGATCTATCTCAGTCTGTCTTTCAATCAACCGATCGATCAGTCTGTCTGTCTCGTTTTTTTGGGGGGGGGTTGCCTTAATTCTTTTCTCACGAGTGAACAATTAAGGCAAGGAAAATTAGGTTTCTTATTTTATGTTTTTGCCAATTTTACATTCATTCCTTTGTTCCCTCTCTCTATACATTATATCTCACCTTTTCTCTCTCTATCCCTCTTTCTATCATTCTTTTCTTGTATGCTTCTTTTTTTCTTTTCTCTTTTTTCATTCATTCCTCTACACCGTCACTCTGCGCCTTTGCTTGTGTGTGTGCGTGAGCGCGCGCGTGACCGTGTTTGTTCTTTTAATGCCCGTTTTCATCATTTTCATTCGAACTCCAGCTCGCCAGCCTCTAACCATGAGGCCTCAGCCATCATCCCCGCGGCAAAATATTGCTACCGATGCAGACGATAGTCAGTTCATAGGGGAACAGCGATCAAACCCAAATAGATCAAATGATTCCTTTGTGTATACTTTTTTCCATGTCGTAAACATCAACAGACGATATAAGATACTAGCCTTAGACAGCTACGTGGTATACAGTGGCTTCCTCCAGTAGAAAGCACTAAAACTAGTCAACAAGAAAATGTTCCGGACGCCATGTTGAATTCGAACAGGTAGAAAACAAAAAGAGATAACGACGACTGGATTAGCAAAAAAAAAAAAAAAAAACGGATAAGAAGGAATAAATCTTTTTAACATTGAAATCCTAAGAATAATCACACAGGTAGATACGTAGATTTCATCGTCACCAGGCATCAGTGTGCAAACTAAAATTCCCAGTACAGATTTCAAAGCAGAAATACGAACTGCCCTTAAAATATTATAAAAATAGGGTCCGATTTTTAGAAAGAAAGTTAAAATTTTACTTGAGTTCTAATATATTATTATAATGGTAACATAAAATATTATTATAATAGTAACATAAAAATATTATTATAATGGTAACATAAAATATTATAACAGTAACATAAAATATCATTATAATAGTAACATAAAAATATTATTATAATGTCGCATTCACTGTCGTATAGGAGGACTGATATGGTACTCTTTTCTTTGTTTCTAAGAAAACTTTTTTTTTCTTAATACTTTGCTTAGCTTTTGGAAGATATCTTTCGTTATCACAATGCGCCCTCGGATTTCAGTGTCGCACTTCCCGTCCTATGTTAAAAGACCTTCTATATATTTAAAGTTTTGTACTTGTTTGATTTTGGTATCTCCAATTTGCAATCGCACTTTGAGATCATCTTTTTTGTTAACATCCATGCATTCTGTCTTCTTGCAATTGATGTTTAATCCTTTCTTCTTGTTCTCACTTATTACCTTCTGTAAGAGTACTTGCAGGTTCCTTTCGATGTCGTGTATTAACACTGTGTCATCTGCACATCTTGCGTTGCTAAGATTGTGGCCGCCAATAACGAATCCTGGTAGGACTTCTAATTCTCTCAGAATCGCCTTATTTGAATAAGTCTGGTGAGAAGACACATCCTTGTCTTACACCTCTTTCTATTTTGTATATTTACTGAACTCATTTTCTATTTATATGCAGGCGGTCTGCTGCTGGTATAAGTTCTGAATTATTCTAATATCCTTCCCAATTATGCCAAGATTATCTAGCAGTTCTAACAGATTTGTGTTGCTTAATTTATCAAACGTTTTTGCACATCATGATGCATTGCACATCACTTTTTCTTCTAACATTCTGAGCATAAATATCGCGTTCTTTGTTCCAGTGTCTTTGACGAACCCGCACTATTTTTGTCCTATTTCTGGTCTGCGCGTTGTATTCATCAGAATTCGGATGATGAGTTTTGTTATATGGCTCATTAGGCTGAATGTCCAATAGAGTTCTCATTTGTTTGCAACTGGCTTCTTAGGCAGTGCTATGAAAATTAATCTACTTATGTTTTCCTGTATATCACCACTATTATATACTTAATTTATTATGGCTGTAATCTTGTCAATGCTGAAATCATCTAAGGCTACCAACATCTGTGTTAAAATTTCGCAAGGTTCTGTTGCTTTGTTTCTATCCCATTTGGCCAGTACCGAGTCCACATGAGATTTTAATATTTATAGTCCTTCGATATTTCTATATATTGACGGTTGTTCTCTTTCGTCGTGGAAGAGTTCTCCGATGTATTCGTTCTATTTTTGTCTTTCTCTAATACCAGTATTCCATCTTCGGATTTTATTTATCCTGTTGATAAGCATGTCTTTTGTCCTGTTAATTCTCTTGATCTTTATGCATATCTGCTTTATCTGTGATGCACATTCTTTCTATTTCAGCACATTTTTCGTTGAGTCATTCCTCTTTAGACACCCTATCATTTAATTCTAATATCTTTGTGCAGTGTCCCATATTCTGTGCCGTGACTTGGCATTGTTTGTTCTCTCCTTTTCATTATGTCGGGAATTTCATTTTTCATCCAGTCTTTTTTTTTCTTTAAGTATTCACCTTACGGATGAACTCAATTAAAACTTCATATACATCTCTTTTTGAACATAAAAAAGAAGAGATGCGTTTACTTTTTTTTTTGCCAGAGTTCAAGCTTGTTCATAAGGCTTCTCAACCAGCTGCGAACATTAACAGAGCGTGGGGTAAAGGATTTACTTGTGATCTGACAGTATGGTACTCCTTTCTGGAGTTCCGCAGTGGGGATACGAGTTTTAAATTCAACGTGTGGTAGAGGACGTCCATCTACAGTTGACAATCAACATCTGAAAACATTAATCGAACAAAATCCATAACAAAGAATCAAAGAAATTCCTTAGGTAATAGGTGTCAACATTTCAAGAGGAAGAAACTCGATAAATGGATCCCACATGATTTCAGCGAGAGCCAAAGAATTCGACATTTTGAAATGTGTTCGATATTGCTTCTACCAAATTCGAATCACCCATTTTTTGATTGAATGTTGATTTTGATAAGAAATGGATCCTTTATGATGACCATAGATGATCAGCTCGGTGACTGAATCATAACGAGGTACTCGAACCCTTTCCAAAACTGAAATTGAACCAACAGAAGATTTTGGTGACTCTTTGTGGGCCCACCATTGGCGTTATCTATCACAGTTTTCTGGAATCTAACCAGAGCATTACTGCCGAAGTTTACTGCCAAATAACTGGATGAAATTCATATTGAGTTAAGCAAAATGCTACCAATACGGTTTAATCGACGAGGTTCAATTCAGGTTTATGACAATACTCGGCCACATATTACCAGGATGACACTACAGTACAGTGACCTAACAAAGGTTTTAAGCTAGGAGAAATAAACTACATCCAATTTCAAAATTTAATTATATAATCCCTACTCAACATAAATAAACAGTATTTGGAACTAATATGGAGTAGGTCCTTCCATTTGTTAGTTTCAGTCCTTGTATTCGATTTTTCATGGATTTGATCAAGTTATCAACAATTGTCTGATCCATATTTTACCACTCCTTTAGCAATGTTTCTTTAAGGGTTGCCACTGACGTGATTTTGGTTGCATGCTCTCGAGTTTTTCAGTCAAGGTGCTCCCAAACGTGCTCTGTTGGATTCATGTCAGGATTTTAGGCTTGATTCCTTGTGATTCCTTCGATTCGTTTGCCACTTTGCTCATATGACATGACGCTCCATCTTCTTGAAAGAGGTAAACATTCTTGTCAATCTGATTGGTTTCAAATAGTGGGAGTAATCCTTTCTCTAATATTTGGCAGTATTTTGGACCATTCAACCGCTCGTCAACAAGAATGAGTTTCCCTCCAAACCAGACAGCGTCCCACACCATTATTCCAATCCCTCTATATATCACGGTCGCCTGAAGATATTCAATGTTCCAAGTCTCATTCTGATTTCTCCAAACATAAACCAATCTCGAATTAGAATATTGGCAGTATTTACTTCCATCTGACCAAATTAAAAATTCATAATCTTTGCTCTCGAATTCTCTAGTCCAGACCATACGCCTGTTCCTGTTAACCTCTGAAATCAAGGGCTTCTTTCTTGCAACTCTTCTTTTATAGCCTAGCTCTTTCAGAGTCTTTCTCGTCGCATATGGCGACATTTCCATGCTGTTGACGACATCCTTGACGCTCTGACGACGGGTTCTGATGACTTCCATCTTCAGTGCCCTTTTCCTTCACTCAGACACGATGCTTGGTCTTCCTGAACGTTGTTCCCCGTGCCAATGGCCTTTTTCATTAAATTTCTTGACAATGTTATTAACCGTTTGATGATTAACCTGGAAAAACCTAGCAATTTCTCTATTTGACTTGCCACACTGATGTCATCCTATTGTTTGCCCTTGTTAAAATTCCCGAAATCCCTTAGTTCCATGAACTTTCATTGCAAGATATAAGTCAGCTATTGTTTATAGATGAAAGTAGCTTGATACTAACACGTTATTGTCTGAAAAAAACAGAAGAGACGTTATTAAACAAGACAAAATTGCTGTAATCAAGAGTGGCTAAAAACTTATAGCCCATTATAGCTCATTGATTTGGGATACGAAACTTTACCACATCCACCATATTCCATTGATCTCTCACTCTCTGTCTATCACTTTTCAAGCATCGTGACAGTATTTTTAAGCCAAAAGATTCAGTATTCATTCAAAGATTTCTTGGCATCCAAAACTTCATAGTTCTATTGTAAAAGCATAAATAGCCTTGTAACTTGATGGCAGAAATATATAGATATTCATGGTGCCTATTTTAAGTGGTTTAAACACCGTTTAAATACATTAATTCTGGAGTAAACGTCGATGCTAACATCCGACATTACTTTCCGAACAACCTAATATTAGCACAACATAATATCAAACCCCGTATTAATCGATGCTATTTACTTAGCTACGGACGGCACAAGACTCAATCGACGGTGAATCGATATCTTTACCCATCCACTTTCGATTGGGTCTTTTGCCAGGCAGAGCTAAATAAATATCGTCTCTGAATATGGGATTTGTGTAGTTGTTGGGATATTTGAGTACTCCCCTCCTGACAGCAATGGTTAATACATAAAAACGAGACACACACAAGAGTTTAATGAGTGTGAAAGAACATCAGAAAAAGTAAAACATTTAAGAGGAGAGAACAACAAAAGAACATGAATTAAGAAGACAAGATTAACGATTGACATTGCATAGTCAGTCAGTTATGTGCCATACATGATACGCGCTTAGGTTATCATGTATCTTTCGATACATGACTGACGAGGCAATTTTTTTTTCCTGCAGTAGGTTGCCATTTCTTTCTACGGTAGACCAGTTGCCATCCAAGGCTACAGAACCCGGTCTGTCCTGCTATTTACCCATAACATGGGGAGGGAGGAGAACAGGATCCATACCTTTCCCAAGGGTATTAGCACGTAATTCGACTGGAGTTTGAACTCGGCTCTCTAATTTCTCAGTCCGAGCCGCTATTCATTACTCCACCGTCTCAAACCTCATATTAATCGATTAGCTATTTACTTACCTACGGGCGGCACAAGACACAATCGAGGGTGAATCGGTATCTTTACCCATCCATATTGTTTCTTGTGATAGGCACAGCTAAGTAATGA